AAATCGTATATACACGTATGAACACAGATAAGATTAAATATATATATATATATATATATATATATATATATATATATATATCTATATACATATACATATACATATATATGTATGTATATGCGCGATTTCTCAAAATGTGTAACAACCTCTATATATGTACGTATATATACACATAAAAACGTATAAAGAGAATACTAGAATGATATGCACATAATATATCTGAACCAAACAGTAAAAAAAAAAAAAAACCGTGAAGAGAAGCGAGAGGTGGTTGCTATTAAAAAATTAAATAAACTATTAGTGCATCTAGGTTTACGTAAGATATAAAGGAAGTAAGTACCTAGGCAAATATAGAAAACTGATTCAACTACGTGCGAGTCAATACATATATAATTATGTGACAATTCGCCTTTTAACCGATCGATTCTCCGTTAATCCATTCGGACGTCCTGTAATCGTTTACCGCCAACCGGTAATTTGTTCTCCGTTTGTTCTTCGCCCGCGAGCGAAACAGAACGCGTGAGAGATATATGTATGCAACTGATCGCAAAAATATTCGGCCGACTGAATGTTTTATAGCTTCAGTTTTCCAAATATAATTATACAGCGGGTTTCAGTTTATTTTTCGAACGATCGAATCGATCGCGCCACGAAATAAAAATATAATAGATGTTTGTTGAAGGTATATTTTATTTAAGTTCGCTTAAATTGTCCAACACGGTCGGATGCCTTTGCGACTAGCTGTATATGTATTTGCACAATATACATGCTTGAAAAGAAACAGACGAAAGCAAAGAGGCAAGAATAAAAATTCGTCGAAATGCTAACTGTCCAAATTAGAAGATCCTCCTATTGTTGTATATGCAGCGACGTTGCTCCGAATGTATTGACAATAAAGATTAATTTAATCGAGATAATAGCGAGTAAAACATTGAGTGCAGTGTAATGTATAATTTATCCGCGGATGATATCTCGGTTATTCGGGTTTATATGTATTCTCGTCTGTAATAAACTTGCCGCGTCGTCGCGCCGTTGATAAATTATATATTAGTTGTTATTAATTGTAGTTATCGCTAGGTATGCTATGTACATAAAAGAACAAATGCAGTAGGAAAACTATTATACGTTGAAACAAAGAGCTGTTTGTATAATAAACGTGTTGTAAGTTACGCTATTTCAGCGTCGATGATGAATTCAATTGAATTTATGACGTATATAACGACGAGAACGGGGGGGAGGGGGGGGAGAGCTGCTGTTAATTTAAAAAAAGAAAAGAAAAAAAAGAGGACGAGAAAAAGAATGAAAGGAGGAAATTATACGTAGATTAGAGATTACTTAAAGACAATATATAACATACATTATACGTACGTGCATTGTACGCGTGTATGTACGTATGTATGTATGTATGTATAAGTTCATTTGAATTTATTGAGGCTCTGAATCGTCGTACTGCTTCCATAGCAATAATTGTATAGTTGATGTTAATGGTACTAATCACCTGCATAAAGAAAACTATATTATAATGTGTCTTGCAGAGAATTAATTAGATTGCAATTTCTTCGAGTTGAGTCATAACAAGTTTCTTGATATAATTTCCCTCGGACAATATACGCAAGTAGTAGGTTCGTTGATAAACTTTCAACCGCCACCAAATACCTTTTGGCCACGAGACGTGTCTACTGTCGAGTATTATACTACTGTTGCGGTCCGCGTGAGAACAGGCTGGACCTTTGCTCGAGTATTGTTGTGTAACATCCATAAAAGAAAGGAAAGAAGAGATTTCTCGAATTTTGGGATTGTGATACCTATATATACATATATATATATATATATACAAGTGTAACGTACACAAGAGAACCGAGAATTTAATCTATACTTTAATTCGTTTAACTTGTCAACCGATATCTTTTTTCGCGGCAGCTTTTATCGTCTTATAGTCTCGATAGTATTCGAAGTCCAGCAGCTCGAACGTACCCGAACGGATCCTTTGAAAATAAATAAAGGCCGGAAAAGGAAAAAAAAAAAAAAAAAAAAAAAAAAAAAAAAAAAATTATAAAGAAAAAAAAAAAAAAAAGAATGAAACATAAAAATAAAATTTTATGTAATATTGCATGATGTATAAATAGAATCTAAAAGAAACATTTGAATCTTTGAATTATCATTCCTCATTTTACTTATATTATTTTCAGTGGTGAATTAACTGAAATGATGGGAGATTTATTCATTGGTCACGATATGCCTGAACCACCTAAAGAAAGTTTCTTCAAAGGCCTCTTTGGTGGTGGGTCGCGAAGCCTTGATAGAGAAGAGTTATGTAAGTCTCAATGGTATCTTAGCAATTCTTTGAATTATACAATTCTAGTTCAAAAGCTTATTAACGTCTGTTTTTATCGTTAACTTGAAATTACTTGTTTCACACGAAAAAACTATGATGAGTAAATGTATTTTTTCTCTTTTCCTCCTGGTTAATGTAAGAAGAGTATGCATTAATCCTTAGTATCATGATTTTTTTTATTTTATCCAGAAAATTCCTATCAGTGCATTTTCGTTCATATTTTATAAAAAAAAAAAAAAGAGCAAAACGTCCCTAGTGCAATAATAGTTGTGTAAATATAACATCAACGTTAGAAGTATATCAATGTTTTTCATTGAAAATCAATCTCTGGATAACATTTTTGGGTTGAAATGAAACAATCTTGCGAATTTTACACTTGGTGAAACCTGAAAGAAATATCAGTTGCGGTTCGTAAGAAAGATCTCAGAGTCGCATCTCGATACGTACTTAAATTGATTAAACAATCACGGAGATGTTTATAATTTATGAAATAATAGAAAAGAAGCATTAAATAAATCGATGTGTTATTTTCAGTTGGCGAATCAAGCGGCAGAGCTTCTCGCACGGTGGCGAAACATATACCGGGACCGAACGCAGGAGCGGAAAGTCTTCGCGAACGCGTGACAACGGCGACGGGCGAAGTGAACATGGCACACCAGATGGTCCTCGAGCGTGGCGAGAAGTTGTCGCAGTTGGAGGAGCGGACAGCGCGTATGATGTCCGAGGCCGAGGGTTTCTCGCAATCTGCTCACGGATTGATGCTCAAGTACAAAGACAAGAAATGGTATCAGCTATGAGAGCATCGTTCGAGCTCTATCCGAATTTGGAATAGCGTACGATTCTATTGTAATTTAGCGTTCACATTTCACCTATGAGTTCTGTCGTACCAAATAGGAGGGCGTAAACTAAAAACTCGACAATTAGGTAAATTGCGAACTTTACACGCACACACAGGAAACATGTTAAACATTGATAAAGAGTGAGAAACTGGATATATGGATGTATGAGTGCATGTGTAGTTAACACGATGCATGTGTTTGAATGGATGAATGCGTGAGTGTGTGCGTGTGTGTTTTAAAGAAAGGAAGTAAGAGAGAATGAGAGAGAGAGAGAGAGAGAGAGAGAGAGAGAGAGAGAGAGAGAGAGAGAGAGAGGGAGGGAGGGAAGGGGAGAGAGAAAGAGAGAGAAAGTGGAACGAGAGTAAAAGAAACATATGAAATACTTTTACAAGCAGGTATAATACACACGCACATCTTTCAACAAAGAATATAAAGAAAAAAAAAATCGTATATACACGTATGAACACAGATAAGATTAAATATATATATATATATATATATATATATATATATATATATATATNGAAAAGGAAAAAAAAAAAAAGAAAAAAGAAAAAGAAAAAAAAATTATAACGAAGAAAATAAAAGTAAACTCTATCGTGTGATGACGATATATAATTATTAAAAACACGTGAAACAAAGACGAGATGCGTGCTGATATATATCCTACTAAGAGAGAAAGGAGAGAAAAATATCCGAATAATCTATTACGCGTATAACGAGAAAAAAAAAAAAAAATAAAATAAAGAGAATATATCCTTCTCGGATCTTTTGTGAAAGTGATGAAAAAGTTGTTTACTGCTCTAACAATAGAATAGTAGTTAAATGTATAATAGTTGCAGACAAGAAAACAGAAAAAAAGATACATTATTACTTAATTGTTTGATAATATAATATATTCTAACACTTGTTGTATAAAGACTATTGTTTAGGTGATTCTGAATTATTTGTCATATCAAGCAGGTTGAGGAATATGTTTGAAAATAATTTATTATGTAATAAAAGGAATATTGAAAAAGAAGTAGCAGAAAGGAGAAGAATATATAACACGAACGAGCAAGGCTAATTATGTAATTTGGAAATTCAACCTTTATCGATATTTCGTTCCGCTTCTCGAATACAATAGACAAACCGGAAGACGCGATTTATTATATATACATACATATATATATATGCCTCATCGGTCAAATTATTTTCATACACGCAAATTTACGCAGTTTTGTTATAAGGCTGGTTGATTTTTTTCTTTTTTTAATCGTTCGATTAAGTTACAGATCCTTCTCGCGATACAAAATGATTGCCATCGGTTACAGTCGGATAAAAAAAGGAACGGATATTTGGTTTGCAAATATCATATTTTTATTTTTCATATTTTATATAAAAAATAAATTTAATATTATATTCTCATATTTTACAAAATCGACCAGTCGTTTTTAGATGTTTGGAAGAAAGAAAATTTTTTCTTTTTTTTAATTTCCACAACAAGGGAAAAAAGGTACGATCATTTTGTAACGTGTTAATTACTAATTATGCGTTCTTCTTCGAATACGTTCGAACGACCGGTAGCTACCTCTCCCACTCGCTATATATATCCTTTGTATCGAATCATCGTCTATTCTGTCTAACCTATTTCGACGCTGTGGCCTGAATCTGTAAATCTAAATATTGTACATGAAAATTTTGTCCTTAGATGCAGCGAAATATCTAATACTCTCGATTTATACTATTACTAATCTAGTACAATTCTTATTTTTCAAGAAATATAATACCATGTTATTGTAAAAGTACTGCCTCGAGGACAGACTGTATCTTGGCTCCGATTAATAAATGAGTTTGAACCAATGCCAAAGGATTTCTCATATCATTTTAATAAGAGCATCTCTCTTATTTTCCTCTTCTTTCTTTTTTTTTTTTTTTTTTTTCTTAAGAGAAAGCTTTGTATATCTTTATCTTTGTTACGAATACTGTGAAAATAACACAAGTTTGCTCTAAATCGTACGAAGAAATAAAAGTTAGAGAAGTGTCCTGTTGGAAAAATGGAAAAAGATAGATCATAGTTCGTTAGAACAGTTCTTATATTTCATTTACCTGGAAGGTGTATTTCATTTGAAAGTAAGAAGTGGAAACCTTGATTAACCTTGTATTACAATAAATTTCAAATTTAAAAACTTTTCACCAGTTTCTCGATTTCATTTGATAATAATCCTTTACAAAGTCATTAAATAAATAACGATAAATAAGCGAAACAAACTTATTGTGGAATAGAATAAACTCATTATTTATACTATTCATTTCTGGAATAAATTTTCTATTTGTTCCTAATATGAGTGCACTTATTATACACTAGTGTCATTTATTTCAATTATTTAATCGAATAGAATTATTTAAATAAAAAATTGGAGTTGTATAAAACGAAAACAGAAAAATTTATCAAATTAATTATGCCTAATAAGTTGAATGCAAACACCATGAATTGAGTGAAAAATAATTGTCGAAATAAAAAATAAACAAAATAATCGTAACAACTGGAAGAAAGTTAATTTTTCATATTCTAAAAATTGCACGATAATTGAACGTAATTGAACAAAATTATTCGTAAAATTCGTAAATTAATTATGTTATACTCGGCGATCAGTGGACGTGACGATTAAAGAAGAATTTATGCCGGAGAAATTAGGCCGACGATATTTATTCAGATGGTTGAAAACAGGGGGAACGATTACTGTTATTGACACCGGCCAGGTAATTAAATTAATTTTTGCGACTCTTCCACTGTTAGGATAGGCATCGGTCTGGAATAATACACTGCTGGGATCCTGATTCTTTTTTTTTTTTTCTTCGTCTTCTCCTCCTTTTCTTCTTCTTTTTTTTTCGTTCTACGGCGGCAAAGGTGCTCTCAACCACACCCGCCGCGTACACTTCTCATTTCCAATTTAAAAATAATGAGAATTTACTGCGAATAGGTGCCGCTGTCGCGTACAGATACTCATCGAGTTTGAGCTCGCTTGCGGGAAGTGGAATGAATTGAAAAAAATTCAATTTAGCGTCAGTATACCGCATTCTATTTCCTTCTCGCTCTCTCTTTTTCTCTCTCTCCCCCTTGTTTCCGCGAGGCCCTACTCTTCTCCTCGCTTTCTTTTCTTCCTATTTCTGCCTCTTCTCCTTGAGAAAACGTGGAATATCGAATGCATCGTGAACAGGAAGACACATTGGGCAGATATGTAATTTTCAATAAATTTAAACAAACGATAAACAAATCTGAGAAATATTAAATACACATCAGTCACGTTCTCGTTAAATTCTTCAGTTTCATTCTTTCAGAATCGTTCCTGAGTTTCGATAATGGATAAAACATAATTAATGACGTAAAATTGCAAAATTCTTTGCAAATTTTAATATATAGATGCGCTGGTAAAAGTACTCGGTACACTCGATTTTAAGCTATTATAACTTCGTGACAAATAATCGCACAACGATCCATTTGGACTCATTTTCAGAGCGTAAAAATATTTTAACGTCACGTAGGAAATCCATGAAAAGTTTGGAAAAAATGAATAAAAAATTCGAACATTTGTAAAAACGCTGAAAAAGATTTTTTTTTTACTGAACTCACTGAAGTCTTGAAAATTGAAGTTTAAAATAACCTCATAAAATTTGCTGTACAACTCTTTTATTTTATATATAGCATTTTGTATCATTTCTTTATAACTCTTTATAATATTTCGTATTCTAAACTCTTTATAATATTCTTTATAATATAAAGAGTTATAATATATAATGTTATAAAGAATTTATAATATAATATAAAGGGTTTATAATATAATATAAAGAGTTATAACATATAATATTATAAAGAGTTTATATTATTAGAGTTAATATTATAAAGAATTTATAATATAATATAAAAGGTTTATAATATAATATAAAAAGTTATAACATATAATATTATAAAGAGTTTATATTATTAGAGTTAATATTATAAAGAATTTATAATATAATATAAAGGGTTTATAATATAATATAAAGAGCTATAATATATAATATTATAAAGAGTTTATAATATAATATTATAAACTCTTTATAATATTCTTTACATATTATAATAACTCTTTATAATATTTCGCACCCCCCTAAAGAGGTGCTTGAATTAAAGTATATAAATATTGGTCAAACATTTATCAAATGATCTGGTTAAAATCTCGACCCCATCGAGAAATTGTAATTTGAAAATTGAACACAGATGCTCAAAACCCTTCGTCGCAAGAAGCAAAAAAAA